GAACAATATTATTTCAAAATCTTCAAGTTCAGGATAGTTATGTTGACGTAGAACAAATAATCAATGATGTGTCGAAAGTTAAATCCAGTTAATAGTAGTGTATAACTTATGTATTCTTCTATTTATTGTCATGTGTTTCTGTTTCTGTATTTTTATCTCATACTGTCATTTCTGCTTTAATGATTAATATTTAATTTCTGTTTCTTGTATATTTATTGAGCCGAAATTTATTTAAGATGTTTTAGCGTCCACACACTGTCCGCCGAGACTAGCACTGCTATTCGTGGGTAGTGCGTCATTATGTTAAGTATCATTACCTAAGTAGAAGAGGGATGGAGTCAAGGGCTTTTTAATAGTAAGAGGGCGGGCTTTTTTTTCTTCATTTAACAAAGGAGTAGGTCTTCGTGTGTTCGTAGGCCCAGTGGACAATGAGGAATGAATGTGACAGTGATAATTACGAGTTTATTTGCGCAAATATCCAGAAGAGAATAAAAAGCAGAGTGCATCGTCTGCACAACCCTCTTATTTTAATTGTGTAACCTATTTCCAACAAACAAGCTTTATTACCAAGAATAAGATTTAAACTTAATTCACAATGTAATATACTAATACAGGAGAGGTAACATTTACCCAGAATAACTAAAAAGCTAATAAAGCTGAGTAAATCTAAGTAATGTTATAGTATAAAAGGTACGTTGGTGTTAAAGCTAGAGCAAAAGCTGTTAATAGTTCTAAAAAAGAAAAATAAATAAATAAATAAATAAATAAGAGAATAAATGAGTAAATATGTACCAGATGACTCATGAAAAGTTAGACTGTAAGATGTTAAACTTGACTTTGTTTTTAAACGTCTTAAGGGGGAGGTGTTTAATGCTTTCATCAAGGTGATTCCAAACTTTTACAGCTGTAAAGCGAAAGTTGAATTTACCATAGTTTGTTTTGATGGTATTAATATAATAGGTTGATTTAGAAGCAAGCCTGGTATTGTATGGATGCTACTGTTTGAAAAACATTTTCAAAGGAAGATGGAAGAAGGTTATGGTGATAGTGATACATAAGGAGTGCATGGTGGAGGGTAACAAGATCAATTAACTTAAGAATCACTAATTCCTTAAAGAGAGGCTCAGAGTGTTCATCTAGTACCGAAAAAGTATAGTACGTATTGCTCTCTTTTGAAGAATTATTAAAGGTCTGAGATTAGAACTATAAGTATTGCCCCAAATTGATGAACCGTAGGTGAGGAAGGGCGAAATAAGTGAATAATATAATTGAAGTAATATGATTCTGTTTACATAATATCTAATTTTAGATAATAGTACTTCAATACCTTTTGAAATCTTCTTGCTCAATTCGTGTAGAAATGGTTTCCAGTTCAAATTAGAATAAAAAATGAGTCCTAAATATTTCACTTAATTATCAGATTTAACAGACATATCGGAGATACTAAGATTCAAATTATGAGCTATTCTTCGTTGTGGAGAATGGAATACTACAAAGCTAGTTTTTTCAATATTCAAAGATAATTTGTTAGCAAATAACCACTGGCTCACCTTATCGAGTCCTACATTTAACTTAGTTTCTAAATTTAGAATATTAGAATCATTAAGAAACAAGTTTGTGTCATCAGCAAAAAGGTGAAATTCTAAGATATTGGAGCATTTAGGCATATCATGTATATACAAAAGAAAAAGAAGTGGGCCAAGCACTGACCCCTGTGGAACTCCACATGTAACGGTTTGATAATCAGAATCAGTGCCAAACAAAGAGACAAACTGTCTTCTGTTACTTAAATAAGATGCAAAGTAATCATTTACAACACCTCGTATGCCATAATACTCCAACTTGGTCAATAAAATTTTATGGTCGACAGTGTCAAATGCTTTACATAAGTCTAAGAAGATGCCACAAGAGTAAATGCCATTATCAATTGATCTTTTTATCTTATCAGTTAAGAGGAGGAGAGCATGAGTGGTTGAATGCTTTGATCCGTAAAGCTAAACTGATTATTGTGTGGTAATTTGGATATATCAACAAAGTTGAAATAGTAAATTGGCCACCTTTACGATTATAAAAGCTGCCGTTTCGAGCGTTAGCCCTTCGTCGGAGCGATTC